GCTCTAACCAGATCTTGAAGTCCCCATTTTTATAGATGAGGGTAGAGGGGCGCTGAGAGATTGAGTAACTAATAAGTGGCAATGCTGAGATTTGAGGTCAGATCCTTCTTCTGACTCCAAAGCCTGAGCTCAAACTCAATGATCAGGGAGAGCGGGTAACTCTTCGCTGGAGCCCATAGACTCTTCCAAAACCCTGGTTACACTTGACTTCCGTTTTTTTGCAGCTTTCTGCAGCTCAAGCCTCTGATCTTGAGGTGATAATCCCCCCACTGGTGCCCCCAGCCTTGTTAACCTTCCAGGTTAATGACATCAAAGGTGTGTTTGAAGCAACTTCATTAGTGACAAGAGTGCCATATGTTTACAGCAGGGCAGAATCAGTACCTCCCTGAAGACTCCAGGCAGGAGAAACAGGAATTTGGAAATGAATAAGAGGAGGAAAGAAGCAGATAAGGATAGAACCTTTAAAGGTAGCTCTTACTAAAAGCACACCTGTGCTTATTGCTGAATTTAATTCCTAGGAAAACGTAAGACAGAAACTTTTTTATTGTCTGCACTTTACAGCCCACTGAAAAGTCCACCCAAGCTAAGAGACTCGTGTACATTCCCTCAGTGAATGAATGGGAGGCCCAGGAACCCACCTGCAGGCAGAGAGGTAGTGACCAGCATTGGGCAGGACTGAGAGGAGTGATTTAGACCTTCAGGGCAGCAGGCACTTGAATTTCAAGTCCCAGGCCTACCACCAACTGTGTTCCTGATCAGATCCCTTAATCTCCCTAAGCTTGTTTCCTCATCTGTGAAATGAGGATCGTGGCATTTCATGAATGTTTATTCCTCATTCTTATGCAGATATCACGTTCTGCTGGTGTTTTGTACTCGGACCTTAGTGAGTTGGAGCTGCTCACTCTCCTGTTTACCAGATTTACTTTGCTCTACTCTAGTCTGGAAATGGATTTATCTTTGTATGCCCCTCTGTGCCTTTCAGATACTAGGGAAAGGGAGGGGGAAAAAACTTGTTAAATGAGAGAATAAGGAGGCTTTCCTTTATCTGTCTACATTTTCCCCGGCCTTACTTTCTCCAATGAAAAAGTGACAACCAAGCAGGGCATGGTGCCAATGCCTGTTATCCCACCTTCTTAGGAGACTGAGGCAGGAGGATTGCAAGTTCAAGGTCAGTCTCAGCAATTTAGCAAGGATCTAAGCAACTTAGTGAGACCCTATTTCTGAATAAATAAATAAATAAATAAATAGATAGATAGATAGATAGATAGATTGGGCTGGGGATGTGGCTCAGTGGTTAAGCACCCCTGGGTTCAATCCTTACTGCAAAGCTAAAAACAAAAACAAAAACAAACAAAAAACTACCATCATGGTCCCTCTCCTAAAACCATAAGCATTTGAGGCAGAAAGAAAACAAAGAACAAAGTACTTTGGCCCCTTGAAAAACAGGATACTTTTCAAGGCATAACCATAGCACATCATACATAATCTGTGAAGCCTTAATGCATGTCTGAACAGGTGGGAGAGTGAGAGGAGAGGGGAACTTGGACTCAGGCGCCCTTGCAAAAGTGCTGTTCTCTCTTCCCCTCTTAGCAGACCTACAAAGTGGGCGCAATTGTGTTCTTTTTCAGATGGGAAACCTGAAACTCAGCTAGGGTAAGCAGCTTATCCAATTGTCTGATTCCAAAGCCTAATCTGTCCCTAGAACGCCCGTATCAACTCTCGTGGGACAATTCCACTTACATTTTCCCCCCGAGTAGAGCTGTCCCTCTAGAAAAACTTCTCTGGGTTCTTCTCAGCAAAACCTAGACAATGCCACGAGCCCTTGAAGCTGCATTTGCAAATGCATTTGGAAATTCCACAAGCCCTTAGTTGTGAGCTTTTCGAAAGAGCACCCTCCGATGCTGCTGTCTGACAGGGGACACCATTTGGGAGCGGCTAGAGAGCAGCAGAGCGACTGGGCCAGCCTGGTCCTTCTGGTTCCCAAACCTGACAGGACTGTTCGCTCTTGCGCAGACTTCAGCTGGCTCAATGCATGACCCGTGCCAACTGCAGATACTTTGGAGGAATAGCTAACCAGAGTCAAGCTCCTAAAGAGACAGAGATGACTCAAGGCGGATTTGCTCCCCATTCCTTATTCCCAGGGAGAGTATTCATTATGCCTGGTTCTTCATCTTTTTTATGCCCTGGGGCGTATTTTAAAAGCAGTGACATTTTAGGCTTTTAGCAAGCAGATGTCAAAGACTGAGATGTGTGAGAAGGGGATAGAAAATGGATAGTTTACTGCCACTCTAGGCCAAAGTACAGAAGAGAAGTGCCTGCATCACAGTGTGGAAATGACATGCTCCAGTCTCCTGCTGCACCATGGGAGCAAGTGCCACATATCTTGGTGGATTTCTCCCGATTTCTCTGTGTCACAGTCTGATCTCGCTTTATAAGGAAGCTTGGGGAAACCTCCCGTCAGTGCACAACTCTCATCTAAACACATAGGTGGTTAAATTTCAGAACAGCGAGTGGCGCACGCCTATAATCCTGGCTACTCAGGAGGCTGAGGCAGGACCATCGCAAGTTCAAGGACAGCCTCAGCAACTTAACGAGACTCTGTCTCAAAATAAAAAGTAAAAGTGTCTGAAGATATAGCATAGTGGTAAAGCTATATCAATCCTCAGTACTTCAAAACAAAACGTAACAAAACCTCAAATCTCTTGGACAAGATATTCTCTCTCCTTCTCAAGATGTAAATTGTTCAAAAAGATATCTTTATTTGGCTTTGAAATCTGATTCAAGTTCAGGGCTGTGATAAATTGCTGATAACTCTAAATTATCCCTAATGATAATATACATTTGATAATTTTTAGTCTTTAAAAAGCAACCAACCACAGGTTGCCAAACTTATACAATATACAATATTGTACAATATATAATAATCTCAATCATGCAAAAAGTCCACACCTGTATAATTAAATATGCATTAAAATTAACAAAAATAATTTGATTACCAGTTTCAGTTATTCTCATATCATAAAAATTACAGGCTATTTTTATTCTTTATACTTTTTCATTTTCCAATTTCTTCATAATAAGCGTAGAATTATCTTTATACTCAGGAAGAAAGATTATATGGAAAAAGCCAAGTTACCTCTGCAGCTATAGACATCACCTATTATAAATTCAGATATTTAATAGGAAATTTAAGATGTGAAAGAACAGAAAAATTTCAGATTTTGAGAAAGAAGATTTGAAGGAAGACAAGGAGCTTATTGTTTTATTGTTTTCTTCAGCAGACGTCCAGGAGTTATTTGCATCTGATTTTTATTTTTTTTAATAGTAGTGGAGGCAGAACTCAACATACAAATCTTGAATATTTTAGGGTTTAATCCCCAGCACGCACACACACGCACACACACACACACAATGCCGTAAGTAATATTGGAGACACCATTAAATGTGTTGCCAATCTCTGAGAATCCAAGTCAAGTCAATGATTTTGAACGTTGGAGGGTAGAAAAATATTGACCGAAGGGACAGCTCAAGTTCTCTCTGAGTGATGCCTCACTCCTGCAGGTTCACTGGGAGCAGCAGAAGCACCCAATCCTGGGATGGCTGGCCCCAGTTCCGTGCAGCTCTTCCATTGACCAGTTGACACTGGGCAGTTTGCACAGCCTCACAGGCACCTCTACACTTGTTTATAGACGATGTGGGGCCCCAGATCTACCATTCTGTTTTCCCTGGCTAAGAATGGCATGACTCAAAGTCCAAGACTGCCACCACCCCAACTCTAATGTCCAACCAGGCCACTCCTTCCCTGGAATAGCCACTCAACCCCTGTGCAAGCGGGGTTTCCTCATCCCTGGGTTTCAGGTGTCCTCCCTCGGAAGATGTTGCAAGGACTGACTAATGCACACTAGTGTCCCAATAACAATGATATGCAGTGCAGGTGCTGGGAGTTCCACAGCCACAATAGCACTGTGGTGACCGCAAAGCCACCTTTGTGTCTTGAATCTGGGCTTTCCAACCTACCATTTGGGGTTCCAGCTGAAGTCTCAGAGGATGTCACTTTCCCCAGGGACTGGAAAGCATTCACAAGGATAGATGGATATGGCTAGTTTTATATAGTAGGGGAAGTCCATTCTTAGGAAGCCAGGAGTGCCTTCTTCAGCACTAACCCTAACCCCTCAAAGAACAACCCCAGGGGGTTGTTATTTTCTTTCCTTTTTGCAGTGCTGCAGATCAAAGGCAGGGCCTGAGGCCACTGAGCTACACCCCTCCGCCTTAGCCCTGAGATTATCTTTCCCAGAAGCCACTGAAAACATTGCCAACTCTAAAATTTCCTCCTTTAACCCAGAGAAGACGAATCCTCGGGTTTCATCTTGTTTTTAACATTCCTCGTTAGCTCCTGAGATTCCTGTCTTGGTTTCAGGCAGCGCAGGATTCATCCCGCGAAGTCAGCAGCTTTATTTTATGTATGTTGTAGCTATGCATGTATGTATGGTGCTGGGGACTAAGTTCTAAAATAAGTAGGACTGGGCTAGTTTAGTTAGACCTCACTAGTCGTACAGAAATCGAACACAATTTTATTTATTAATTTATTTGGGTGTTGGGGACTGAACCCGAGCGCACGCCGGCAAAACCTCTATCATTGATCGGCACCTCCAGCGCAGTCCTAGTAGCTTTATATCCTCTCCATACACAGCGCAATTCGGGAGGTGGGTGGGGGGAGCTGGGTTTTTCCTGGGTAACAAGTGACAAGCTCGCGTCCACACGGACGGGAAAAGTCGCTCCTCTCCCAGGTGTGTGTTCCGAACATCTGAACCTGTTGCGTTGCTCTCCACAGGTCAGCCCCGTCTGTCCGGCACGGGCCTGGGAAACACCCGCAAGCAGGTGTTTTCCGGAGACCCGTGCGGGTGCCCGGCGGCCGTGAGGTGGGGGTGGGAGGCGGTGGCAGCTGGAGGGCGGAGTCGCCCCACGCCGGGAATCCTTTCCCGGCTTCAGCCTCGCGGAGTCGTCTTCACTCGCGGTGGGCCCCGCTCAGTCGTGGGGCTGGAGACCGGGCCAAGCTCTCCGGCACCACCCAGAGGCCCAGCCCGCGCATCGGGCTCGGGGAAGCTTCGCCGGGTCTGTCCGGGACCGCGTCCCCTCTCCGCCAAGGCCCAGACGGAGCCCAGCACCTGCTACTCGAGCCGCTGGCCCCGGCCCGTCGCGACCGCGGGAGGCAGGCGGCCCGTATGCAAATGTCCCGCGGGGGCCGGGGGACGCCTCCAGCGCCCGGGATAAAAGGCGGGGTGAGGCGCGCGGGGCCGCAGAAGTCGCTGCCTCCCGGGAGCCTGCCGTGCGCTCAGGCCCCCGCGCTCCTGCCCGCAGCCCCGACAGCGCGGTCCTCCCCGCGGCCCCCGGTAAGGACGCGCGGCAGCGCAGACACCAGGCGAGGAGGTGGGCCAGAGGCGCCGATGCCGCGATTGCGACGCCGCACCCGGCGACCCACGTCCCCTCGGTCGGGACGCGCCTCCGTGCGCCCAAGGGACCCTAGTCCGCGCTTTCTCACTGGGAACGTGGGAAGCCGACTCCCACACCGCGCTCTCCGGGACTGAGCAGGTGGCATCTCCCTAGGTGCCGCTCTGGGACAGTTTGTCCCCAGGCCATTGGCAGTGAAGACGGAAAGAACTGCGTTTGGTCAGGGTTAGGAGGGACTAAGAGGATCTCAGGCTGGAATGAGTGGGAGTCAGGAGAAAAAGGCCAGGGGACCCCGGATAGTCCATGTTATTCTCCTGTTCCCCCCCCCCCAGAAGTCCGGGGACGCTAGGGAGGCAACGGGCCTGGAGAACCCGCGAGGGGGACCGAGTGGGTGGGTGGGTACGCGTTTGAATGAGCAGAATCGACTTTCTGGGCCCCTGCGCTGCACTGAAACTTCGAGTTACCCATCCCTGCAGAGTCGTCACCTCCTCTAGTCAAAAAAGTCCTGCTCCGCAGCCCCCTTCCTCCTCCTTATTTTAAAAAAGAAGAGACCTTCTAAAGTCTGTTTTTTGTTTTTATTTTTATTTTTTTGTACCGGGATTGAACTCAGGGCCACTTCATCACTGAGCCACATCCCCTACCCCTTCCCCCTTTGTATTTTATTTAGAGACAGGGTCTCTCTGAGTTGCTTAGCTCGTCTCTAAGTTGCCGAGGCTGGCTTTGAACTTGGTATCCTTCTGCCTCAGCCTCCTGAGATGCTGGGATTACAGGCGTTCATGCCAACAGGCACTGGCCTAAAGTTTTTGAAACTAATTCCAAACTCAAGGTTGGTGGATTAATCTGGGGTTTGTGATGGCTCCTTCCTTCATCCACCCATCCTGCACCCGCAAGATGCAATGTGTGAGGAAGAAAAATATCCCAGAGAGCACCCAAGTCTGTCCCCGCAGCTTACGACGGCAGGCAGCAGTTGTGACCTGGGTCCTGGGGAGAGTGAAAGGAACCAGCCCTCCTGCCTAAAACCAGTCAGGGCCACCTGGGGATGAGAGCCTGTGAGTCTCCTGAGGGCTTCTCCGGAGGAGATCAGCACATTGCTTTGTTCCTATGGGTGTCTTTGGAGCTAGACTCATCCAGAGAGGATTAATTCTGAAGGCAGGGAGTGGTGACAAGTAGAGACATCTGACACATCTCTCCTCCTGTTTCTGTTTGTGTGCGTTTGTCTTGGTTCTAGACAGTGACTGGGAAACAGAAGACTGGAAACATGTCCGAGTTTTGGTTGATTTCGGCCCCTGGTGATAAGGAGAATTTACAAGCACTGGAGAGGATGAATACAGTAACCTCCAAGTCCAACCTGTCCTACAACACCAAATTTGCTATTCCTGACTTCAAGGTGAAATTCCTGGGGAGGGGAAAGGAGATGGTGGACTGGTGGGCAGGAAGCAGCCTCTGGGGAATGAAGGAGAAAATAACAGGTCAAAGTGGGGACACTGAGGACAAGCCTGAGCTAGGGGATAGATAGGGGAGTCGGTGGGCTCCATGGGTCTTCAGGCCATGGCTCCAAACTAATTGTGGCACCTTGGCCTTGAAGCCCCAGGAGAGAATGAGGAGAGGGAGATGGTGGTGGTGGCAGCATCTAATGCTTCATATAAGTGGGAAGAACCTGTGAATAGCAGGTCCTCACCGTGGTCCTGGGGACCTTCCTGTTTTGTCTGCAACATCTAAGAAGACCAACCCCAGACTTGGGGTATTCCGGCTTGCAGGCCTCAGGCCTCGATTGTACTCCTGACCTAGGGGAAAGGCAGGAAATCCAGGATCTTTCTGATTTTATTGTGTGTGGGGGGGCTGTACAGACAGCTGGCAGAGTGGCAGAGGTTTGGGGTAGTGCACAGTATCTGAGGACTCTTTAGTGGACAGCAAAATGAAGATAAAAGGGTAAAGAGGAGGAAGATATATACAATCCTCAAAAACAGTGGACTGGGGCTGGTGGTGTGGCTCAGTGGTAGAGGGCTGGCCTGGCACGTGAAGTCTTAGGTTTGATCCTTAGCACCACACATAAACAGAACACAGACTGGCAGTATTTCCTAAGACTGTAGGTTTCCAAGGGGAAGAGGTAGCTAAAGAATTCTTTGGGACCACACCAATGTACACACACTGAGAGTGCCAACCACCCAGAGTCCTTATAATCAATCCTCTTCCAATCCTCAGTTTGCCCCTCTGCCAAAAGAGTGCACTGTCACCCTGAGTTGTTGGTGATGCTGCTCCATGTGCCAGCATTTATTGAGCAATGTTCTGGCAGCCAGGTCCTGTAAACAGAAGATTCCTTGTGGAGTCTTCGAGGCTCCCCCTGACAAGGTTGGGATGGGCTGAGAGAAGCTTAGTGATTGCTAGGCTGTGGGGCTGGCAAGAGGACAGATGCAGCTGGGGTTCTGTATCCAGGGCTTGCTGCTTCTTCAAGCCTGCCTCTGTTAACCCTGGGGACAGACACTGTAGAGGTTAGTGAATCCAGCCTCCACTCATTTACTGAGCAGGGCACCGTGCTAGACTCTGGAGGATACAAAGTTAAACAATGACATGGCCCTACTAAAAGTTGCTTAAAACTAAGTTGCTTGCATGTCTATAATCCCAGAGACTTGGGAGGCTGAGGCAGGAGGATCTCAAGTTCAAGGGTGGCCTCAGCAATTTAGCAAGAACCTGCCTCACAATTTTAGAAAAAGGTATGTAGCTCAGTGGTAAAGTGCTCCTGGGTTAAATCCTCAGCACCCTTTGCCCTCAAGAATTAATTTTTTGAAAATAAGCAACTTCACCAATATCCAGTGGAGATTTCCAGGCTTCATCAAAGATTTATTAGTTTTTTAAATTTGGGGGATTCTGGGGACTTAATGCAGGGCCTTGCTCATGCTAAGCATGTGCTCCACCACGGAGCCATGCCCCCAGCCCTCCTTAATTGCTCTTAAAGTGTGGTTGGTCTAATCACAGGATGGCAAACCTTTTCTTTCTGATTCTGTGAAAAGACCTTTCAATACAATTTTGCTGACGATGCACTCATTTCTGCACTAAGAGACAGATCATGCATAATCCACAAAGAAAAGGGCCTCGGGGGGATGTAGCTTAGGTAGAGTGCTTGCTTCACACAGGGCGGTAGGTTCTGTCTCCAATACTGAAGAAAAACAAAAACAAAAGAAAGAAAAGGACCATTACAAATGAGTGGGAAGAAAAGCTGCTCCCTTCTAATCAAGATCAATGTCAATAGCAGCAAAGAACAGAGAAAGGGATGGTGGTCCTGTCTTAGGGAAGAAAGGCTTTTAGAAAGGATAACTTGTTAAAGTTGCTGGGGATTCATCTCATGAATAGCAGGCTGCCTCTCTCAGAGGCAAATGAGCTGAGGTCAGCCCATGACGTAATAGTCCTTCCTATGGTGGAGATATGACAGTTTATCCTGTTGGTCCCTAAAATAAAATAAAAATCCCAAATCCCTGGATTTCCCTTAGGAGTTCTTCCCACTTCTCAGTTTGGCTGTTGGCCAGGAGCAGCCAACTCCAGATGAAGGCAGAGTGCCTCACACTGCTGTTGAAGCGACAGCCACGCCTCTCTGCCAGCCAGCACTAATTATTTTATGATCTTTCTAGGTGGGAACCTTGGATTCTCTTGTTGGTCTCTCTGATGAGTTGGGGAAACTCGATACCTTTGCTGAAAGGTAAAATATTTCTTATTTACTACATACAAGTGAGAATTTGACATTGTTGTCAGAGGACACAGTGTTCTTGCTTTGGCTGAATCAAAGTATGGACTCATACTCTAAACCTGGCTCCAAAAGTCAACAGAGTGATCAGGTGGGTCCCCTGGGGGAGTGGGGTCAGCAGGAGCATGCTGGGCCCATCCTTGCTTTGTTTGCCGGAAATAGCATCTTTTTATTTTTATTTTTTTTTTGGTACCAGGGACTGAACCCAGGGGTGCTTGACCACTGAGACCCATCCCCAGACCTTTTAATGTTTTATTTTGAGGCAGGGTCTCTCTAAGTTGCTTAGGGTCTTGCTAAGTTGCTGAAGCTGGCTTTGAACCTGATCCTCCTGCCTCAGTCTCCTGATCTGCTGGGATTACAGGCGGGCCCCACCACCAGCTAGAAGGCAGCATCCTATAAGGGGTTGCCTTCAGTATGAAGATCATGCATAAAGCTGAGTCACTTAGAAAAATAATTGGTGCAATTCCCCTCAAGGCTTTTAAGTTTGTTGGTTTTTTTGATAATATATGTAAAAAAAAATCAAAGTACAAAAAAGAAAGAATGTAGAGTGAAAATTAAGTTTCCCTCTGATGTGTTTTCCTCTTTCCTGTCCCCTGTCCCCTCATTCCCTTCTTCTGAGGCAGTGCTATGACTTTCTAGGCGAACTTTCCAGAGAGAGCCTATTTGAGCACAAGTCAACATGCATGTATTTCATATGTGCTCTCATAAAGTGCAAACACCTGTGTCTTGCTTTTTTGTTTAATAGCATAGCTTAGAGATAGTTCCATGTCAGTTCATTGCTGCACATTCTTTTTACTAGCTGTATGGCCTTAAATAGATGTACCCTCATTTATTTGATTTCTCTGTTGTTGGACATTTAAATTTTCTAGTCTTTTGCTATCACAGGCAGGGTGGTGATGACTGTCCTTTGTGCACATGTAGAAGTGGAACACTTAAAAGTGGTTGGTAGTTCTGGGTCAAAGAGTCTTTGCAAGGACAGCTTACAGATATGTCCCCAGTGCCCTGCCAAGAAGTTGTTCATTCCATTCACACGCTCTCCAAAAGTGTATGAAATATCGTACGGTCTTAGCATGACATTTCTTTTTAAATAAGTTTATTACAAATTTGGTGCATAATCACTGGGAATCAATTATAGCTCATAGAATAGCGTGAAAAAGAAACTACAACTCACCCATGATCACGTAGTCCAGAGACAAACACTGTTACATTGTGTTTACAGCCTGTACCTCCAATTTTCCCAGCACATATATTATTTATATATACATATACTAATAAAAGTAAGCCCACATTATATACCTTATACATGTAAATCCATATTTTGCTGTTCTCTTCATATTTTAGATTTTTTTATGTATTGGGGGTTGAACCCAGGGGCACTTGACCACTGAGCCACATCCCCAGCCCTTTTTTTTTTTTTTTTAATTTTGAGACAGGGTCTTGCTAAGTTGCAAGGGCCTTGCTAAGTTACTGAGGCTGACTTTGAACTCTTGATCCTCCTGCCTCAGCCTCCCAAGCTGCTGGAATTATAGGTGTGCACCACTGTGCCTGGCAAAAATCGTTTTTTAAACTTAGAGTCTTTGAACTGTTATGGTAGAAATTGGTACTGTGGATTGAATTTGGGGCACTTTACTTCTAACTTACATCCCCACATCCCCAGTCTTTTTTTTTTTTCTTTTAAAAAAAAAATTGAGACAGGGTTTTGCTAAATTGCTCAGAGCCTTTTAAGTTGCTGAGGCTGGCTTTAATCCTGCAAGCCTGCCTCAGCCTCCTGAGCTTCTGGGGTTACAGATGTGCACCATTGCAATTGGTGTGCAGGTCATAGTCTTTGAGAAAGAAAACCAACTTTGTCTTTCTCATCTATAAAGCGAGGTACAGTGACCATCTCTCTGCTTTCAGGGAGGAATGTAGGGCAGTAGAATAATGTTAAGTGTCATCAAATCCCAGGGCATGTCCTGTGAAAGATCACCATCCAGGAGATGTGGCTGGATTCCCAAGTGCCAGCTCCTGTCTGCGGCTGCTCTGTCTCTGAGGTCTGATGGACCTTCTGTAGCAAGAGGACAGATGCTAGTCAGATCTTCAAATCGGAGGACCCCAACCCTAAGCAAGGGCTCTGACAGATGCCATCGAGGGCAGCCCCTGCCTTTGGCCGGGATGGCCTTCCGTGCTCCCTGCCAGCCCTGACAGACCACAGCACGAGGCTCTTCAGTCCTCGGCAGAAACACCAGCTGAAGGAAGGTGAGCTGCTCCGTGGCAGCTGCTCAGCACTCTGGTCTCAGCCCTCAGTGGCTGCCTTTCTGTCCCTCCGTCCCACTCACCAGTGCCCCCCGCTCTGAGCTTCTGTGGGCCTGGATTATTGCTGTTGGTTCCACCTGAGTTTCTTTCTTTCCTTTTCTTTTTTTGATTGTCTTTTTCTTCCCAATAGACAGTTGTATTTTGTTCTGTACGTATCTGTTGTACGAGTTGCCTCTGATGGTTCTATAGCATATTTGTTTATTGTTGTTGTTTTTGGAAATGAGGTGAACCCAGAGGTACTTAACCATTGAGCCACATCCCCAGCCTTTTTTATTTTGAGACAGGCTCTCACTAAGTTGCTTGGGGACCTCTCTAAGTTGCTGAGGCTGGTCTTGAACTTGCAATCCTCCCGCCTCAGCCTCCTGAGCCTCTGGGATTATAGGCATGCGCCACCACACCCAGCATGGTGTAGCATATGCTTAAAAAAAAACAAAACTAGAAAATGCATGCACAATCGAGTCGTGAGCTCTCGTTTTGAAACACAGAAACTGTACAAATGAGAGTGTTTTTACAAACAGGGACTAGGTGTGGTCGAGAATGAAAATCACTGTGCGTTGTTTTGAGTTTTGCTTGTAGGTGTGTATTCCCAAGAGCTTTCCTGGGGGGGGGGGTGTGTGAAGAAAAATAGTGAGGTTTGAGTGCCCTTAGAGTTTTAGCTTTGCTCTAGTCCAGGGCCTGGAACTGATAACTCCCAGGTCCATTTGGGAACAACCTCCCTGGCTCCGTGGAAAGTGCTCCAGTGTGATTAGATAAATAAACCCCAGCTGGGCCTGTAACCTAGGCAGCATAAACCTGTCAGCACTGCTTCTGCCCAGGAGGACAGAGAAGGGACAAGGGTTTTCAAGGTGTATTGTTTCCCTATCCTTTTATTATTTATTTACCGGGGACTGGAGTGTTTTTCCATGTCGCTGGAAGGCAGCCTTGGCTTATGCGAGCTTTCCCATTATTTTTTGATTCATTCTTTCATGCCACTGTGTTAATTTATTCTGCATTTACACAATGATTCATGAACATTTGAGAAGCCCAGTGCTTTTATCTTTTAAAATCCACCCCCCCCCCGCCCCAACCTTTCAGCGTGTGAGTCTGTCCCAGCATCGTGGCCTGTCCTGCGGTCCTGGTTGAAATATTACATTTCACAGGCACTTGGCATTCAGCTATGCCTCATGGTTTCTCCGGGGCCATGTTGACTGCCTCTTGCCCCTGAGCGCGTTGCCTGTGTTGTGGAATAGCTGGTGGCTTTTTCTTTACCCACGTGGTTCGTGAAGCTGTCTGAGGGTTGGCTGATCAAAGATCACGGATCTGAGTGTGGATGTCTACTTGGTGATTCCAGTGAGTTCTTGTGGGGACCTTCTAAACAGGAGTGAGATGGAACGGAAAGAAGTGCCCAGGCTTCTCTTCTCTGTGCATGCAGAATATCAGGTTGAGGTTATCTGTGGACATTTCAGGCCTGTCCTGCACCCGCCCTTCCACCTGCCCCCCTGACACCTCTCCCAGGTCCTCCCCATGCCTCTGGACCTCCTGCTCGCCTTCTCCAAGCAGAGTGCCGCTCCGCTCCCTCCTCCACGGCCCTCACCCCCAGGGACAGGCCTGAGAGAGGCCGTCTAAGGCCGTCCTCTGACCCCATTCTGTTCTCTGCTTCTGTGAGTTAAACTGTTTTAGATTCCACCTGGGAGGGAGGAGAGGCTGTCCTCCTTTCTCTGTCCTTGCGCTGTTCACTATGGCATCTGCTAGCCACCGGGCTCAGCGGAGCTCTTGAAATGTGACCAGTCTGAACGAAGATGTGTGTCAAACACACGTCAGGTTCAAAAGACAGTATGGGAAAAATAACTTCAAATATCTTGTTATACTTTTTAATGTTAACTGCCTGTTGAAATGATAATATTTTGGATATTAGATGAAATAAAGTAGGTTGCTAAAATTAATTTCACCTGTTTTTACTTTTGGAAATGTAGTGATTAGAAGTTCTTGAATTACTTATGTGGCTCCTGTAATATTTGTATTGGGCAGCACTGGGCTATAGCTCTGAGTGTTTCTCAACCTTGAACATGTAAGTGAGTGCCCTGGGGATCTTTAGACAACTCGGTTGTGACTCAGGGGATCTGAAGCCAGGGATTCTGCATTTCTTACCATGTTGCTGGTCTGCAGACTGCACTTGGCTTACCAAGGCTCAACACTTTAAATTAGTGGCTCTTCAACTTCAATGTGCGTCGGAATCATCTGGAAGGTTTGTTAGAGCATCCATTACTGGGCCTCATCTCTAGAATTTGTTATTCTGAGGGGCCTGAGAATCTGATTCTCTAAGCTCCCCAGTGGTGGCAGTGCTCCTGGTCCTGGCTGAGCTTTGAGAATGGCTTCTTCGCCTGGTGGTGGGGCGATCTGTTTCCCCATGGCCCAAAAGATGTCATTATGACATGTGCATTTTTAGAACTGGTTCTTGGATGATACAAAATTTTCCAGTTCTGTTGGTGTGTTGATTTTCTCTTGGGGAAGGAGTACTGATATTGATATATTGTGTTTTTGGAGAGAAGAGTCAGTTTCATGAACTTTTTCAGGTTATTTGCATGAAGTCTACCAGGGTCTGCTGTAGCTGCACATTTCCCGTTGATTTTGGTCTTTGCATTTTCTTTGGTTATGCTACCCATGGTCTACCTGTTTTGCTTTTA